CCCCTTCCTTCTTCTTCCCCCAGCTTATATACTGAGCATGACGTCATATGGTATGGAATAGCCCTTTGGCCAGTCTGGGTCAGCTGTCCTAGCTATGCTCCCTCCCAGCTTCTTGTGCACCTGGCAGAGCACAAGAAGCTGAAAAGTCCTTGACTAGTGCAAACTCTGCTCAGCAAGAACCAAAACATCAGTGTGTTCTCAACATTATTCTCATCCTAAATCCAAAACACAGCGCTCTACCAGCTACTAAGAAGAAAACTAACTCTATCGCAGCTGAAACCAAGACAACTGTCTGCATCATCATCCTCCTGGCCCTCAAGTTCCAGAGCCTCATACCTATTGTGTAAGGGCACCTGGGAGGGCGATGTACGCTGTGAGAGGATTCGCCTGCTGTGCCGAGCAGGGATCTGTTTCCATCCCCCTCTGTCTCTTAGGTCCCCTCCTTCCGCCTGGTGGCAAGAGGGTAGGAGAGCCTCTCCATCTCTTGATGCTTCCATCTGGCGTGCTAGTCTCAGGAATGGTAGGGAGTGGCTCCACCAGTCTATCTCCCTCTCGCAAAAAAAAAAAAATTTGCTCAGTATGTAACCCTCCTGCCTGAGCGAATGTGGCGTTGCTTCAAAGCCCTGCCTGGCGTGCCGATGAGCCCTTTCACTCAGCATCTTCGGGCTCTCTGAATAAAAGCAGACTTGCTGTAATCATATTCATCTATATCTTTCTTATTACGTGTCTTTTTGGGGATTTAAGCATGAGCTGTGCTTTGGTAAAACCCTTTGCATCTCAGATGTTTCGTTTAGCTAGTTATGTTCATGTATCCATATGATTTCACACTAAAAAACCCACACTTATTTAGATCAAGAGCACCTTTACACCATTAACAGGGTTATGACTTACAAACCTCCAAATCGCCTGGCACTGGCCTGCTGAAGACTACCCCAGTGCCCTGCAGTCCTGCCACAGTGGCAGGTGGGTGCCTGTCGCTGTGAAGGAAAAGGCAGGAAAAGGCATTCCCTATGGAGGCTTGAAGTCTCCTGGAGCTGGAAAAAGATTCTAAAAAGATTGCATTTACTGACATAAATACGCTTGCTGGGATTTTGTGAAGCAGTTCAGGATATGAGGTTGGAATGACAAAGCAGTGGCAAAGGAGGTATTAAAGTTTGATTGACCCAATTTGACTGGGTGAAGGGAGGCAAGTTGGTCTGTTTGAGATTTTTTGGTTTTTATTATTTTTTTAAGGTGCATTATAAGATTTTTTAATTAAGAGGAGGAGATCTAAAGCTCCTTTGTAGTTGTCCTTTTCTTATTACTCAAATTTGCAGAAAGAAAGCAGATGGGTCCTTTCTGCTCTCGTGATTCTTGAAGCTGTCCAACTTTATTTACATGAAGGACAAGTGACTTCCCAAGCAGCTAGACTGACTCAGCTTTACCTGGTTTGCGTAGGACAGCAGTGCACGCACCAGGAGGTATCACTCAGCCCCAGGACACTGCTCCGTGATGTTGCCTCGTAGCAAATCCCAATCCTATAGCTTCTGCAGGCAGAGACAATGGTTTCCCAGTAATGACGTCCCCAAGCAGGCAGCAGTTCACCCAGGATTGAAGGAAACCTATTTGTGGAAGAGGTGTACTGTAAAGTGAGTGTGGTGGTAGACCAAGCATATTGTGTTATTTCTTATAGTCACATCATGCAGCAGCATCTAAAATTTCTAACGGACTGCACTCTGTTATTCTAACTGCAGGGTTTTATCAAAGATTTGAATGTTGTCAGTAAGAGTCATTTCATCTTTGCACTGAGATGGGCTCATATTGAGGAGTGAAAACCATGAAACTTTACCCAAAATTATATTAAGTTAGCAAAAGGTGGAAAAAGTGACTTTGGAGGCAAAAATGGACCTCAAATTTAGCAGGCTTGTTCAAATTAGAAAGTATGGCTGTTTTAAGTAGACACACTGACAAACATCTTGTGTGCATTCAGCTGTAACAGTAAAAAAAAGTGCTTAAACCAGTAATACCCCATTACCTTTTAAGAAACCATATCAGTATGGTACAACTTCATACAAGTGTACCTGTGCTTGTGATGTGACCGATATCAGCATGTCAAAAAAAACATTTGCAATGGATGGAGCTAGCCTGGTACAATCATTCTAACATATCCCAGGAGCACTTTCTAATTCTCCAAAGGCACAGATGCTTTGGAAAATGTTACCAGTAATGCTCTCAGCAGAGGAAGCAAAGTAAAAGGATGGATTACTTCTAGCCACAACATATTCAAAAATAAGCCCACAAATCTGGCCTTCTTGAGGCAGCAACAAGTTGCTTTGAGACTGAAGTGCTCTGAAGGATTAAGCAGTGACCATGGACTGAGGCAAACCCAGCAGTCCCAGTAGTGCAACACTGAAGTCCTCCCAGCACCTACATCAATGCTGCAACTGGCTTTATTGAGGTATTGCAATGTTTGAAAGGGAGGTCTATCACACAGACTGAAACAATTCAGTTCTACAAAATTAGTTAGTGCCATGTGAAAGCTACCTATAGGTAAAAATAAGAGCGAGAGGTCCATCTTGAACCCCACGGAGTGGTGCACTTGGCATGCTGGTACTCACCCAGTGAATTTGGCTGTCTCGGGAAGGCGGATCACAGTTGCATCAGGGGAGATTTGCAAAGCGGGATGGGCTGTGTTGCTCAGTAGGCGAAATCGAGTTCCTGGTACAATTCACGACAAAGAAACATTGGTTCTGAGAGGCTGGCAACATTAACACGAGATGAATCATAAAATGTTAAGCAACAATTACTGCCATCTTAGCTGGACAGAGGTAGGAGTGACAGAAAATTGGACGCAAATGCAAGGACTCTTCCAAGCTGGGCCTGACTGGGATGGCAGTCTTCTGGCAACTAGGCCCAGGGAGCGTAACAGGTTGTATTATTCAGAAAAGTAGCTAGGTGATAAAGAAGTCTTTGGTATTAAAGAAGGTTGAATCATTTTCAATCAATTGCTTTTTCAGAATAGCAAACTTGAATTTTGAGGCTGGTTTGGAAGAACCATACATGATTTAATGCTATTTATCTGGAAACCTTAAAGTTTAAATCATCCATTACATTTTAAAACTGCTCTGCATGCTTCCTCATCCCTGAACTCCGAAGTCCATAAGGTTTTAATTTTGCTTTTTTTTAAGATCATGGAATCTTTTATCAGAATGTGCTCTGCCAAACTCAAGCAAACTGAAATCCCTGAAGAATATTTAATCATTTCATATCTCTGACAGAATTCAATGTTTTTGCTTCTGAGGTCACATAGGTTTTACATTGACATAAATCTACCAACTTCAAGTGAAGTAGTCCCAGATTGTGCTTATTTTAAGCAGCTAAAATACGGTTCCTTTTATTTCAATAACTTGCTTACTCCCGTATTGGAAAGCTCAGTTATGATTTATGGAGGAAAATGCCATCTTTGACTGCTTTGCCCCTCCACCCCATTGTTTTGACATCAGAAAATGGTGATGTACCTTTAGTTGAGATGAGAGCAGCTTCACTTTGTTCACTTGTTCCAAATGGGTTAACAGCCCTCAAGTAGAAGAAATAGTTCGCGTTGGGCTCCAGAGATACTTTCAGTTCAGGTCTCTTTATACTAGCAAAAGATCTGCAAATTTTGAAGATTTTCATACATGAAAATGTATGCAGATATTCAAACCGGGAAAGAATAATTTGTGCAAACAGCTAAGCCACTTAAGTATTGTTGTGACTACTGAAACAACAGGCACCATAGAGAAACTCCAAATTGGAAACGTGAACACTGTTTTCACACACAACCGGGTTATGTAGGAGCTTCGGCATTTTACTTCAGGGATCCTTCTTACTTCGTCTGACAAATTTTCAGGCCTTTGATCCTGTACTGCCTTCTCACTCAGTGCAGTCATTTGGTGTAATGCTCACTATATGTTCATTTTGCAGCATAAGTAAGTCATCACATAAAATGCAAGCAGTACAGAAACAAATTCTCATCCATCTCCTCTAAAAAGTCTGCATTACAAAATGAACAAGCTTCTGCAGGAAAAAAGAAAATTTGTAATTAATTCAGCTGCATGAGAGTGAACACACTTGCTGTGTTTGTACAGTCTGGGCACATGCTCGACATCCAAAAGAACGGATACCCTTATCTGAGACAGCACAGAAACCATGCACTTCTTATTATGAACTCCTTGCTCACAAATTGTTCATCAACAAAGTCTTGGCTTTGTCTCCCTCATGGTGCTGTGCACTCTAACAGGCTGGTTTTGCAAGAGGCAACAGCAGGGGAACTGCCTTTGCACAGTGCCCTGCTTTGACTGTCTCCCCTTTGTGGTGCCTCAAAAGCTCAAGCCCTCACATCCTCAACCACTGGTGTCTTGACACACTGCAGGAAAGCGAGAGTCAGCACCCACTCGACCTGCTTCACAGGCACTTTGAAGTGCCAGTGAAAGTACTTTGGATGACTAGAAAGATGCCAATTTTATTTTCTATATTGTCAGGAGTATGAAAGTTTGGCTTAACAAATTCTCACACATTGGATCCTGATTTTCCTCATTTTTGCCTCATATAATAATGGCAAAGCCAGACAGTTTATATCCACCGCATCATACACCTGCAGGTAAAGACTGTTTATCTGTATAAATTAGATAATTTCCTCCAAAAAATGCTTATAGGAATCTTCAAGGCAAGTATTTAATTTTCCAAGTGTAATGCAGGTCTTTTGAGATAACCCCCCTGCTCTCTGGGCTGAAAGATGATAACCTCAGTAGTATGAGGAAGGGCTGAATGCAGGAGTCTTGCTCTGCTCTCCAGATAATTTGTGAACAGGAGATGTGCCTTCAGAGAGCATGCGAGGCACTTTCCCTTCCACCACGAGTTCGAGTGGAGCCCAGGATGGTCTCCCTCCTGCAGGTAATGTCTCTATAGGGAGACAGATTAAACAAATCACTTTTCCCAGCACTAATTACTGTGACACCAGAGAAGGTAAGGCAGACAAGTCAGCTGTCAGATAAGATCATTGCTATTCATTTGTAGTGACTGATTTTTCATGTATGTCCCACCAGAGAGCAGTACAATCTGAAGAATAATCAGTGCTCATCCATCAGGATTTTTCACATGCCTGCCTCTGCTGCGTTTATCAGATAAAGGTAAAATCCCACAGCCCTACATACACCAAATTCCTGTTAACACCATATAGAGCTCTGTGTCTAGGAGGATGGCATCCTGGGGAAAGACTGGTGCATCATCCTTATTAGTCTGTAACAGGTATTTTGTACTGACAGCTGTCATTAAAAGTGATTGAAAACATTGAGAAAAAGCACTGGGTGCTCCTGTGATCTTCTTTCAATTTGAAAGAATTTCAGAGAGTTTTGGGCTCTTGTGTGATCAGCGCTGGGCCACGCTGCCTTTGGGGAATGTGTTACATTAATGCTGGAACTGATGTAGTAAACAGAAGTGGGTTGTCCAAACATGGTAGCAATTGCACGGTTTGCTTCACCCTCATGACTAACTAAAGCCCTGACCACGAGAGCACTTCAGCAAGGCATTGGGAGTTTGGCAGGCTGGTCGGTTCTTACTGAAAGGTTCAGGGAAGAGGTGCAACCTGATGAGTTGCCTGATGAGAACCTGAGATCTTTAGACTTGAAAAAGGAAAAAGGCTCATCTGAGTATAGGGGACGAGAAAAAGGAAAGACGAGTCAAAAAATATCAGATGGGAACTGAGCAAGGAGGCAAATATAAAAGAAGTGAGAGAAAGGAAAACGGGGATGGAAGCACAGGCATGGGAAAAGAAGCAGGTACCCAAGCTTTGAAGAAATTTGTCCATGCTTCCTAGACAAGTCTGGCCCAGTCTGTTCCTTAAAAGCACCATCCTGATATCTTTGGTGTGAATCTGAAGCACAGAGCACCAGAAAGAAGTTTTGAGCAAACAGTTACAAGTGAGATGAAGGGAGGACACACTAAGCTATTTGTCGGAAGCTGTTTGTGGCAACATGTAGATCAATGTGTTTTAAGCACAGTGATGCCCTCTATATGGCTCCTTCTTCTGTCTTCTGGAAAATACCATGCCAGTCAGTGCCCTCCCAAAGAAATTAGGAGAACTTTTTCACTGTTAGCTATTTAACTGATGACTAGTTAACAAAACACAAAATTGTTTCTAAATCCAAGTAGACAGGTACATTCTGGGGTAATGAGTAGACCTACGGTATTCATATTCTGGAGTCTGGATCCCAGAACCTGGGTATTCAGAAAAGATTTTGGGTCCAGCCAATTGCAGAATAGGGTCAGCCATCAAAGTTCAGACTCGTGTGTCTTTCAAATCTGAAATTCTCCAAATCAGAATTTGGTTGCATGTTTAATTCAGAGAGCAATAGCATGCCTCTTTTCAGTTGTAATAGTGAGACAGAAGTGTCTGGACTTTAAGCAGATCTGGTCAGTAAAACAGTGGTCAGATTTTTGAATAGCATTCTCTGCTTGGTAATCTATTTTAGCCAGCTTTAAGCTGCCTAAGAATAAAAGCCTATCAATTTTAGCTACGACTAAGGCTTAAAAAACAGTCCCGCTGCTGCCAACTAATGAAACAGAATATGCCAACAAGAAGGAATTTCATTTGCAACAGTCTGAGTCAGCTCCAAGCTCACAAGGGGCTGCATGCAAAGAAGAAATAGGTCTTGCTATCACCTCTCCTTCTGTCTAGAGGACAGGGTGAAGGGGGAAAGTGAATACTGAGGGCTCCCCAGCAATCACTGTAGTTTGTCATGCTTCAGATTAACCGTGCAATCAGTGATAAAAAAAGCAAGGATAAGGAGAAGGTAAGATTACTACCTAGCTTACAGCATACAGGACATGCATGGGAGAAGGGAAGGGAAAATGCATCCTGACTGTTGGGGGAAAGTCTGTTTCATTTCTGAGTTCTTATAACAAGCATTGCAGCTAGATCTTCCTCAAGCTCACCTAAAGTATTGTACCATGTAATTTTGGTCATGAAAGAAAGAGAAAATCACCTACAACATTTTTTATGTCACCTATTTTCTACTTTAAAAACACCTGTTCACTTTATAGATTATTTGAAATTTAGTAATGTTATCATCAAAGCATGAGGCATCCTGGCCTTTAGCCTAAATGGTATCATATTTGCACTATCCCCACAGTGTCTTGGTATCATAATACAAAATAGAACATAGCACATAGAAATTCAAGAAACATAGAAATTCAAGAAACATTTGAAGTTAAATATTTTAAGTATCTCCTCTTAATTCCCCTCTTTATAAGAGGAATCTATAAGTCTCAAAATCCAGTCTCCAAATTTCAGGTATGTGCTATTCAAAGCAAAGCAGAAAGGAGTTACATGTTTCTTCATCTTTAAATTGCTGAGCAATATTATAGTAGCAATTGTCTGTTAAATTTGTGATTTCCCTGGTTTTAGGGAAATCTGATGCTGTGTTTTGATGCATATTTCTCCCATCAGCATCCTCATTTATTTCAAGGAAACAATGTCTAGAGGATATTTTTTAATATTGCAGGACCCAGCAAATGATATGCCTTGCAGTGATTCAGAATGCCTTCTGTGCTGTAATTGTCATTTCCACCCCAATATCCCACTGAAACAGCACCTCCAAACTTGTGCTGGTACCACTGATGTTGAGTTAGAGCTGAAAGCATGGAAGCGTCTCAAGATATGTGTAGAAGCACACAGAAAGGGTGTGCCATGAGCGGAAAAAAGTTCTTGAAGCTGAAAATAAAGAACAAATTGCTCCGAGTTCCCTCCCAGCTGTGCCGCACGCTTACTTTCCTCTCCTCTGTCCCAGCTCTGGCTGTTTTGGAGTTAGATCACCAAAGCACCGCCTGCAATGGTCCTCACTGCTATCTCAGACAGCAAGCCCAGCACAGCCAGAGGGGAGGAAGATTCCTTATTTTCCACACATTGTTTCCTGAGCTGGCAGGACTGTAATGTGGGCAAAGCAACAGGAGGGAGGCTTGCTCTCCTTTTTCCAGCATTAGACCTGCTCTATGGGTAAACGGAAAATTGTGATTGCTAGCAGTGCCGGTCTTGCATTGGCAGAGAGGATGATACTCAGTCACTTCCACTTTTACAAACTCACCACATACTGTACTAAGGGACCTCCAGAGGTCCCTTCCAACCTCAGCCATTCTGCGATTCTGTGACATGCCGAAGGCTACAAGGGGCTGGCCCAGACCAGGGACTCTACACACAGCTCCTGCTGTTTGATGGGGGAATTTCTCCCTGCCTGATACCTTGGCAGTGTCCCTTGCCTTGGGTGGGCTCCCAGAACGACATGTGGGATGGGACTGTGCTGCTTTCTCCAGGACTTCCCTTGGATGTCCTTCCCCCACCTCTGCTTTCCCGCTGTGGCTCCAGCAGCATCTGAACTTTCCAGGGTTGCTGAAAAATGTGTTCGGACTCCCACTCGGGGACTGGGGAATCGCTCAGCTATGGGGCCACCGCAAGCATAAGAGGCACAGGCCACCACAAGGGCTCTGTGTTTGGCTGGTCCCCAAGATGTGTGTTGCTCAGGAAACCTGTGAAGGACAAACTCCAAGCTTTCAAGGAAAGTAACCTACAGCATTTCCAGGCCCCAATGCTTCTAGGTGGGCATAAAGACACAGTTTTATTCCACTTGATATAGGTAGTCGACATAGTAACTGTAGGCTCCTTACAGGTACTTTCAGAAGGCAGCTCTGCCCATCTAAGATCTGACTCATCACCTGGAGCTATTTGTCTCACTATATCAGCTACATAAGGAACTGATTTCTAGTCCTAACATGCACCTTGATGGCCTTGGATGGGAGCAATACAGGCAGTATGCACCATCCATCAGTGGGCTCTTTTTTCCTTGGCTTTACGCAAAAAAATTAAATAGAAATCTTTAAAAGAATATTCTCCATCACTGAATCATCTTGTGCCATTATAGAAGTTTTCCAGGTTAATCTTGGGGGGGGGTGTGCTTATGGAAAAGGAAGGAGAGGCATTGTTTTGAGGGAAAATAAGTGGTAAAAGATGGTCTTTGACACTGTAAAAAGAGGTCAGAGCCCTTCTACAAATACAGAAATTTCAACTACAGTGATTCTGAGAAAATTAATGATTTTGTTCTATGGGAATTTTTCACACTTGTCACAGTAAAAGGTGAGCTTCTGCCCACAGGGAGGCCAAAAAGTCAAATGTGACTCAGTATAATTATAAACATGCTAGACTTTGCACAAGCTTACTTGAGAAAGAGAATTGGTCAGTTCTGGCAGCTTGTTGCCACAAGCAAACCGCTTGGTGTTAACAATACCTCACTCACAGATTACAGAAAGCAGCACACTTTCTGGTACAGTTTTGAGAAAAAGAGGCAATTCCAGTTAACAGCAAATAAACTTGAGGGCAAATACATAGTACAGGTTTTGGGAGCAGCTACATTATCCCTGACCAACAGTGACTTTGGCAGGTTGACAGGGACCTGATGGCCTCATGAAATATGTATGAAACAGAGCAGATCATGGTTGCCCTCCGAGAGGCAGGAGAGCTGGGCAAGACCTCTCCTCCTCTCCTTGTTTGCATTAACACAGCACACTGGTACTGCGTGAAAAAAAGGTCTCCCAACCCCGCAGAAATTTATTTCAATTTTTAGCCTACTTTTGTAAGGAGCAAGGCACACGCAATTTCACTGTCATACTTGTCTAGTAGAAACATGTGAACCATTTAGTCAACTAATTTTGACTGCAAGGGGTGGAGCCCATGTGAACTAGCCCATGGATGAAGACTCTAATCAGGCTCCCTGGGAGGGGAAGACTGACAAACTCAGCTGGGGTCCCATATGGCAAGTCACTCCCCTGCCTCCCAAAGCTTCTCAGACCTCTGCAACTGTATTTTTCTGGAATGCTGTTGTTGTTTTTAAAAACCAACCAACCAAAACCCCAAACCCCCAAGGACATACAGAGCACCATATAATTTTCTCTGCATTTCAACACACTGCATGGTTTCATGGATCAGTGGTGCCTACATCCCTCCTCTCCCTCTCCTCTACACAGCACAGACTTAACGTAGGGGAAACCAGAGAGGGTCTGGCATAAGCAGATGCCACCCCCAATTTCAAAGCTGCTCTTTGGGTTGCTCTTCCACCCCTGTGGCATGCCTGCACAGCTGGTCAGTGCTGGGCTCAGCTGTGCTTTGGGAGGGATCTGCCCACGCATCCAGACAGCGCAGATGGATCACCAACATTACCAGGATACCACTATGACCCTCGCTATGTCTCAAGCCGGCTCCTATCTTGTTTGCCACAAAACAAAGAGCAAACTGGGCCAGGCTTCTCTGTCACGCTCCTTCCTGCAAAGCTCAGCTGCCCTCCCTGGGGCTTCCCCAGCCAACACAGCCTTGCAACTTCTGGTTGACTGCAGACCGCAACATCTTCAGGGTTTTGGCCCCAAATGAATGGGATTGCCCAGTTGAGCAGAATAAAAGGAAGTATTTTTACATCTCTCAGCCTAATCTCATAGATTAGTGTCCAGCCTGTAAATTCCTCAGCATGCAGAAGCTGATTTCTTCCTTGCACGGTCAAAGACAGAATAATCTCTTGTGTAACGACCCACAGTCTGGGGCAGGGCGCTCATTAACAGCTGCTTAATCTGATCGAGCAGTGCTTGTGACTGTGGCACTGACCTGAGACCCTCTCCTTCCGGCGAATGCTGTCAGCAGTACTCCAGAGTGAAGGACACTGTCGCCACTGAGCTGGCGCGCCAGCAGATGGTGGCCGTGTCCCAACACACCATGCAGTCCTCGGCCTTGATGGTGGGGATGGCGGGTGCTGGGGACACAGGGACACATTAGCTGTACCACAAGGAGGGTACCAGTGGCTGGCGGGGGATGCTCGTGAGGGAAAGGAAGGGTGACCTCCCTGAAACCCCATGGCACAGTTAGTTTTATCTGTCCAGCAATGATCTTTTGCTTATTTGTGTTTCAATGGCAGAGGGCTACATTATGTGGAAAAAACCCACACTGGGAAAGTCACTGTGAATATTTGTGCATTTCCTTGCACATGCTTAGAACGTCCGTGTAGATTTTTATGTCTCTCATCAAATGCATTTTCCCCATTTCTGCCATTTTTTTAAGGAGCAGAGCACCAAGGCAGTACTGCATACAGCTCTCCCTGGATCACCTCAATCCTGCCCTCAGCCATTCCTGCATGAACTGCATCAGAAACAAACGTGCTGCTGCAGAACTGAGGGGGAGATGCTGACTTTCTGCTTAATTATGTCCTGTTTATTTTTGCAGTGCGGATACTAAAATTCCGTCCTGTAATTTCTCTTTTTTAGAGCCTCAGTTTAAGAACTACAGGCCCAACTGCAAGACAGAAAACTGAATGTAAAATAGTGCAATGAATGCAAGTAATCAAAATCAATTGTGTGAAATAGCACATCCAACATCGTAGGCTGAAAATGGATTAGTTGTATTCTCTTGCTCTATCTCTTTCCAGGGAATAGAAACATAAACGAACTTTATGACCTGTTGTTGAAACTCATATAAACAGTCTTAATACCAATCCTTAAAAGAAAAGTTATTAATTAAAAAAAAGTCATAGAAAGTTATTTTACTTTTAAAGAGATTGGGTTCCAAATAGGAGGCCTAAGAAAAAAGTAGAAATTAGACAATTTTATGACAAGATAATCTTATAGAACTGCAACCAGCATTCTAGATGCATTCTGTTTTGTAAGAAAAATAATTTGTTATTAGTAGAAAAGGAAAGAAAAAACCTCATATTGATTTCCTGGTTTAGTGAAAATCAGGAGGTTAGCAATCCAGGTTAAGATGTACTCGATGTTTTACTACAGGAACACCTAATCTAGGTATTCCGCAGAACAAAGAATCTGTGGAATAGATTCTCATCTGGTAATAAATCTGTGTAGCTCCCTTAGCAATAGCCCTTTAATTCTCTTCTGACATATTTGATTATTGTCTGGTTTTAAATGCACCTGTTTCTAAAGAATGAAAAATTAATCGCTAAATCCCCCAATATCTGCATTCAGAAACTGACACACATACCCACATTTATGTATGTGCAAACAGTACATCACAAGACCAAGTACTTTTTTTAATTTAAATTATCTGTCCAAAGAGTAGATGGAGTCAGCATACCAGAAAAAAATTGTTACTGTGCTTCTGAGATTTTTAACAAATTAACTGAAGTTACTCAAGCTGTACTAATTAGAATATACATCTGATTTCCTGGTAATATTCCAGCACTCATATAAATGATCTTATAAGAGGCAAAGAGCAGAAAAGGGTAAGTTCTTACTCTGTCCCTCAGATACAGGATGAGAATCACATAGGTTTTGAATGACAGAAGAAGGTGCATTCACTCCTATGTCTTTAGGATTGCAAAGAGCCTTCATCTGGAGATCAGTTTGAGATGGATGGGGTGGGGGGAAGGTGGGGCTATAGAGGGATACTTGCTGCCTTCAGCATCATTCCCTCACAGAAAATACTGCTTGGAAACAGCATGTTCCCCAGGGGAGGGGAAGACAGGCTGTGAGTTTGGGAGGTGGAGAAGCAGGAGACAGGAGGTGCTGGGGGAAAGCTGCTGCAGCAGCATGCTGTGTTCCCCACAACTCCCCAGGCCCACTGCCACCTCTATGCATGCAGTTCCCATGGAGAAGCCTTGGAGGGGTTCCCAACATCTGGAAGAGGCACAGCTTTGATCCATTATTAATGTGTATGTTCACATTACTGCATATACCAGCTAATGATTTTCTTCTATGTGCCAACTTTTAATCTGAATTACTAAAAGTAAACTCTCTAAATTCTTGCTTCTGAGTTTATATTGCTAATTGGACTACTTGAAGAATCAAAATATTCTAGCTTCATATCAAAGTAGCCAGGCTCACACTGAAGAACTGGTTTCCATTACCGGTGCTCATCTTTCCACCCTTGGCCTTAAGGGGATGCAGCAGTTTTACATCAGTCAGTGCTCAGCAGTGTCCCCACAAGTCCACCTGGGGCTCAGCGTGCTCCAGAGGGAGTTCACTTAACTTGAGGGAAGGTATTTAATGAGCCCTTATTTGATCTAGTTTATTTGCTTTCTTAAAGAAACAGACCAAAGGAAGGCATCAAAGACTTGAGGAAATTAACTTCTTCACAAGGCTTCAGTTTTGGGAAAAAGAATTATGAGCCTGATGCCAAAAGGCAAATATAGTTCTCAAAAATAATGGCTTCAGAGAGGTGAACACCCCTTTTTAAATTATGATTTATTAGCTAGTAATAACTCATTATTATTTGACCATTTCGCAGGAATTCTCACAATTACATTTTTGTAATTGCTCACAAGTACATTGTTGATATCATAAAATTTGAATTTCTACTTTGAATTCTTTGGAAAATCATCTTTGCTAAAAATATCAGTAGCAAATTGAATATCAAGGAGAATTATCAACAAATTTGAAGTCTAGTGGATTAAGCAAAAGGCTTGAAGCTGTGGTTGCTGCCAAGTGATTTCAACAATACACTCAGTGTTGTACAGAGTTATTTCATTATGAAATTGTTAAATGTCTGTATTTTGTAACTGCAAGAAGCAGTAGCACTAAAAAAATCATCTGGCGAAAGGGCCTCAGACACAAGAGGCTTCACCTTGCTCGTAATTCAAGAAGCAATAGTTTTGTCAATACAAATTATTAAAGAAATTAAATCTCAGAAAAATTAATCAGTCAAATGAAGCTCATAAACAATACTTGTCTAATTACTCATCTTAATTTATACCACTTAAACAGCAGCAGAGCCTCTCAGCCACACCTGAGATTTGTGTTCCACTGAGCTAGACACAGCATGTAACCTTGGTAAAGCAGGCCTTCCCCTGAAAAGTTAATCATTTAAATCAATGCAACATAGATGTGTTTGGGAGGATGGCAGAGAGGCAAAAAATGCAGCTGTCACCTCCATTTTCCACAGGAGAAGCAGCAGCACAGAGCAGCCAGGTGGCTTTCCCAGAGCTGCCCTGGAGCATTGCAGCGCACAGAAGAGAAATACATAATGTGCTGCCCCAATGCCCCAATCACAAGGCCTGAGACTGGAAATGTCTTCAAATCTGAATACCTTCAAGTTTCCTCCCAGGAGCAATTATGCTGCTATCTCTTAGCAAAAAGGGAAATGATTGTGAGTTGCCTGCTATCTATCTGCCAGATGGGCTAAATTAAACAATTTCTTCTGTTTCAGTAACACTATGGACTAGAATTGGTCCAAGAAACTGAAGCTTATAATAATAAAATGCCAAAATAACAATCAAATGCCAAAATATGTACATACCTGTTTTAAAAATGGCTTTTTCACTGGGTAAGCTACAGCCAGTGCAGTTCACAGCCATGACTCACACACTGTAACAGCGATCCAGCTCCAGGTCCTCTAAAATGCAGTGGCTCTCCTTCACCGTCACTTTGTATTCTTCTGCCAAAGCTAGGAGGAACACACACATGCACGGAACATTACACTCGCGTGTTTCACTGGTAGGGCCTATGACTGCGCCTCTTGACTAACATGTAAAAACCAGTAAACTAAAAAAATCCAGAAAGCATTACTAGCCAAGATCTCCATATTTTACTCTGACTCAGTTTTGACAAAGTTTTTGACATGCCCTTGAGTTGCGTGCATTCAAACCCCATTGATGGCAAGGGGAGATTATGGCCCTCAGTCCTACTGAGGACTAGGCTGCAAATTTGGAACATACAATCAGCAGTTATCAACTCTGGTTTCACCTTAACATAACATAACATAACATAACATAACATAACAACAATTTATCATAATGGAATTTATATCCCTTAGCTATAAATTAGCTATTATAAAAAGCCCTTAGCATCCTTTAGAGTGCACACAAATACGGATTTGTGCAGAGCCCAGTTGCTTTAAGTAACTTTATGATCAGCCTGAGCTTTTTAATGAATGAGCATTTCAATCCTCTTTTCTCAATTTCCATATTTAAGATTTAAAATATTTTAATGTTATTTTGAAAAAAAATCCTTGCTTACATGTGGAAATACTGATTATCTTTTCCTGTCATTTTTTATTAGGACACATTTTTGAAGTACATGCAGGGCCCTAAAAACCGAATCAAGCCTGTCCCTTTGGGAGCTCTATCTGCAGTCCCCATTAGTACCCACGGGGCAGCAGGGACACATCCTCTCTGAAGGTCAGACCACTTCATAAAAGGGTACCTAAACAGGGATGTTGCTGCTTCTCTGCAAGCAACTGCCCTGTACTTTGTAGACCACATTATTTACCTTGCGTTTTGGTGGACGAAGGGGAGAAGAAGGAACGGCATCTACTTCACGCTCTCCTCCACTGTTACCTGTCCTTAGTCCTATGCATGATTTCACAGCTCCTCCTCTCTCTGCATCCTGGGCCCTCCCCCGCCGCTTGGCCTCCCCTCTGCTGACCCAAGACCAGAGCAGAAAGGGCTGCTGCCGTTGCAAAGGCAAGGCCTTACGCACCCTCCACATCTTTGCTGGCTTGTGGCTCCTCCATACAATAGACCTGGAAGCAGTTGATGGTGTCCCCATCATTCACAGTCCAGTAGACAGCAATGGAGGTGCTGGTAGCCGAGTTTGGTTCCTGAGATATGACAGTTGGTGTCTGCGGGACTGAGAGGAAAATCTTCAGTTATTAATCACTGTCCTGGTTTCAGCTGGGATAGAGTTAGTTTTCTTCCTAGTAGCTGGTATAGTGCTGTGTTTTGGATTTAGGATGAGAATAATGTTGAGAACACACTGATGTTTTAGTTGTTGCTAAGTAGGGCTTACACTAGTCAAGGACTTTTCAGCTTCCCATGCTCTGCCAGTGAGGAGGTGCACAAGAAGCTGGGAGGGGGCACAGCCAGGACAGCTGACCCAGACTGGCCAAAGGGCTATACCATACCATATGACGTCATGCTCAGTATATAAGCTGGGGGAAGAAGAAGGAAGGGGGCGACGTTCGGAGTGATGGCGTTTGTCTTCCCAAGTAACCGTTATGCGCGATGGAGCCCTGCTTTCCTGGAGATGGCTGAATACCTGCCTGCCGATGGGAAGTAGTGAATGAATTCCTTGCTTTGCTTTGCTTGCTCACGTGGCTTTTGCTTTACCTATTAAACTGTCTTTAGCTCAACCCACGAGTTTTCTCACTTTGACTCTTCAGATTCTCTCCCCTATCCCACCAGGGAGGGGGGAGTGAGCGAGCGGCTGTGTGGTGCTTAGTTGCTGGCTGGGGTTAAACCACAACATTCACACTCCTGTATTTTCAGCCAAATTACCTACAGGTTCATGAGGCAACCTGGTCACTTATTTTCACAGAACAAACACAGCAATCACTTGAAATATGGACAATACTAGTGCAGTTTTAGAGCAATAGGTCCACCTAAACTAGGAACAGAAAAAATTAACTGCTCGGCATGGGAATCTGATTGCCCCTTTCCCTCACAGTCTGGACAAAATAAGATCCAGACCCAGTACTGGGACCACCTGAACCCAGCACAAAGCGTGTGCCCATGCCCTGCCCAGCTCTCGGGGTCCTTCCCTATGGGGCAGGACCATCGCACAGATGAGTCATGGCATGGCCACTTGTTTCCAACCTCCAGCAGGGTGAGGGGAGCAGTGCACTACCTCTCAGGCCTGTGGCAATCCTGGACACGCAGAGCTGTCATACAACCCCAGTGGCATCAACAACCCCTCTCCTTTCCCCAGGAGACCTGCTCCCTTCAGTCACAGGGAGAGCATTCCAGCTCTGCACTCCACTTTGAGGCACACATGCTGATGAAACCCCAAGGGACAACTGATATCTTCTGGTCACCTCCTCAGAGAGGCCAGAAGACCCTTTGGGCGACTGCCTTCTCCATTACCTGACCTTGCCTTGAGGTGCAGGCACCAGAGGAGAAGACACCCTATGAAGAGGATGCCTGTGAAAGTGGAGACTGAAAGCATTTGTTTGCAGCAAACAGAATGGGACAACTCACTGATGGGAAGAGGGAGCTTGCAGAAGAGAACCTCCTCCAGAGACAGACATAACTGATCCCAGAAAGTTGGGCAGGGGGGAGGACCTGCCACACCAGGGAGGGATTCATGCAGTGTGTCAAACCCACTGAGAGACTAACAGGGATGTGCTTTTAGGAAAAGGAAGGCTCAGACCTCCTTCACTCACAGCCTGGGGAGCAGGAGGCTCCCTGCAGCCTTGGGTCCGCCCCTGCCCAGAGGTGGACTCCTACTGCAGGTGCACGACCAGGTGCTCCTGCCTGGCACAGTCATTCTCCCTGCAGACTCAGAGGATCCTTGGCGGGTAGGTTGAACCCGAGCTCTGCCTTAGCCAAAGCACCCAAACCCCATGGGACAGCCAGGAGCATCCCTCACAAAGTGTGCTTCAAAGACCTCTAAGGTTCCCCAAATTTTATATAAACTTTGTCTGCTGATCCGCACAGATCCATCCCTACCGAGATATTGTTCTCCTCTATGATTATGGCTTAAAAGAGAGAGAAGGGAAAGAAAGAAAGAAGCAAAAAGCCCTAAAAGATGTTCATTGTTAAAGTGATTGCAGGGAACAAAAATACATGGTTCTATTTCTTCACCCAGTAAATTTCCATACTGCATGAATTCTGTTAGAATCTCAGCAGAAAGCTTTTGCTTTTTTTCAGTTATCTTCACAGTAATAATGATGATCCCCTGTGGCATGAACAAGGCAAATGCAGATGCTGGCTGTTTCCTTGTGATTTATACAGAGAGCTACCAGTACAGTAGGATTACATCTGCTTCCCATTGAAAAAAAATTATCCTTCTCATTGCTAAAAACAATCCACATTTTGTCTTTTAACTGTATCTAGAGTTGGCCAATTTAAAAATTGATCATCTTTAGGAAAAGACTTCCTTTCAGTGGACCCAGTGGGGAAACCATCTTTTTTCTCCTGTGAAGTTGCCTAGAAACTGCTATTTGTGATCACAAAAACCCCATAACTGCAAAATTTATTATTATGTCAAATCTGAACAGAAGCTAGCTTAATGAATGCAACTTCTGAAAAAAACCACACATTATAGGTCAAAATTCAGTTTGGTAACATTGAAAAACATTTGATTTCTAATTTATTTTTTGCATAATATGAAACAAACTTCTGAAAGGAAGTAATTTCAGAGCAATAAGTTGAACTATTCTCTTCAGAAACAGAACATTTCTGTGTTATCAAAGTGCTGGTCCCTTTTCTAATGAATTTTAGTCAAAGAAATTAGATATTTGCACAACACGTTTGTTTGACTAAATCATATTTTTCAACAGAAAAGTGGGACATTTTCTGATCAGTTCAGTTTTCATTGAAGTGATGTGGTGTAAGAAAGCTTTTCCTTCATGCTACCTGATCTCCATGGCCCACAGGAGAAAAAATAATAATCCTAAATGTTTTATGGATATTTACTCCTTTTCAGTGTAATGGGAAACAACATTTCCTTAACTTCCTTAACTTTGCGGACTTGAAGAAGGAGAGCAGTTGTATTCCTCTGTGACTTTAATGGAAGATTGTTACCATCAGCAGAGGTCCTCATCTTCTAATGGGCAGGACTCACGGCAGGCTTCGGCAAGAATAATTTTCAAATTTTGAAATTATTCCCACCCTTCTTCTGGCAGAGCCTGGATTCCAGTATGCTCAATGACATGCTGCAAGGGTTTTTTTATGCTTACGCATTTGTTAATGGGGTGGCTTATGTGAAAGGAGGAAGAATTTGAGGGAAAAGGGCTTTTCATTAGTGGATATGGAAAATTTGGAAATGGAGGGTGTTTTGAAGGAAAGATGTTTCTGAAGTGGTGAAAATAAAGTTCTGCGAAATTGTTCAGTAAAAGACTATTCTTTCTGAAGGAAAAATATGTGGATTGGAGAAACATGGCAAATTCGCATCTATTTCATCAAATGGCTTCAGTCAAATTCTGAGAGTGTCTGACATTTGCCTCCTGTATTTGATAAATTATGTACTCAAGGCGTTCAATTCCAAATAAAGTTTCATGTAGACATTTACCTCTATTTTCCTTCAGGAAAGGTGTAATCTTGAAAAAAAAAATGTTTTGTCTACTGCTCACCAAAGTAAAAATCACAATAGCAATTGAAATACTTGGTAGTGGAAGTGAAGGATGAAACCCAGGTATTTCAGAAAGAGAAAGAGAAGAAAATACAAAGGATGAGAAGCTTTGAAGGTCACTTGCTAGTAGATAGTCATTCATTTCCAGTTTGTCAAAGCAAACTGGTCTGGAGCCATTTGGTGTTTAGCAAACACAGTAGCTAATGCAAAGCAAACTAAAAAGTAAATCTCAGCAGTCTGGGGAAAAACATGTTGGAGTGACTTGTGGAAAAAGGAAACATAGCATGATAAAACGGGTCTGTGATCCTGGATGACCTTGCCAGTAGGTAACAGCCCAGGAGTAAAGAATGGTTGCACTCATGGAACTGCAAGAGGGAGTTTAGGAACTAAACCAAGATACATAGCACATTTACACCACTAAGTTAACACTGGCTGAAAGTAGGTTAAAAAAAAAAAGATCTTTTTGCCTGACTTCCTAAAGAAATTAGGTTGAGATAACACTGTATGCACAAGTGCCTGTCCAACCTCACCTGAGAAGCTTTGAATGCCTCAGGCAAATTCATACAAATCTGACAAGAAAGTTAAGGTCTCAGAGATATTCAATTCCTCTAAGTCTAATAAAAGTAAGTGACTGGGTGGAGGAGAGAGACAATCTCCCCATAGTGACATTGCTGAGTGCACTCAACTCTTATTAGACACCGGAGAGTCTGTGCAAGATGGCACTTCTCCAGTGTCCCATTAGGCACCTGAAAATCCAGCCAGGAAACAAAGCACCTTACAGAAATCCATGATCTAGTTCCAGTGCTCAGGGACCAAACATGTGAGAAAAAGGCATCATTTGAAAAGCCAGAGGGTAACTATGACAGCGGTGGTGCGTGAGACGGTGAATGGGAGATCATAAAGCATGACAGTGAGATGTGAGCTCCCAAAACAAACCTTCTCTTGAGAAAGAAACACTGGAGTGAGACCCCATTATGAGGAAAAGGAATAAATTCTTCATTGACAGCTGTCCAGATCCAGATAATTTCTATAGGTGTACATACAGGCAGAGCAGAAAGCCCACACAGGCAGGCTTTTTACAGGATATGAAATATGAGAGATTAATAAACCCCTTTATCATGTACAATTTTCACTGCTGCCCTCCGGAGTAGCGGCTGTTTCCAGCTACAGTTAAGCACTTTCCCTTCACATCCCCATACACAGGGGTTTCAGGTGCCTCCTTTCACTTGGCACAAGCCCAGAGACCTCAGCCATCAGCCAGCCCCTCCGCTCTCCTCCCCACACCAGCGCTGCTGGGGCTTCTCCCCTCAGAGGAAGCGAGTTCAGGAGACCCTTTGATTGCCTCTTCTGTCCCTGCCTGCAAGGGAACAGCAATTTCTTTACCCTTGGGAGAGTTACAGATAGAGACCTTCTGCTAGTCTGAGGTACAGATATCTTAAATGATGCAAGAATCCCCCACTTTAACACTTTTCCCTCTGTTGCTCATCTTAGTGTCCTACTATAAGCCAAACACTTGTGCACAATTAGACTTCATTTTACATCCAACTTTGATTGCTAATTATATGACTTGCAAATTTATACTTCTCAAATAGATTCTGTTGTTAAGCTTCCTAAAATTTCCAAAGCGTTGTCAAAACGTTAGCTTTTGTAAAGATTATATTCAGAGATTTTTCCCAGCCATATGTTTTAAGGAGTGCTGGTTGCTTTTTCCTGGACTGTCCACGTAATGCTCAAACAGTGAAAAAGCACTGGGCACTTTTTCTAAAGAGAGAGTAGTATCCATTGCAGACAGTAACCTATTTGGAAAAAAACACATAGCCGTATAAATCCCTTGTGGTATCACGTAGCTTCCAAAGGCCAGAAGCAAAGACCATGTGACATACACTTCTCTAAATATTTCCCATGAACTTGAGGACAACATGCAAGGAGAAGCTGTTTCCCTGCTTTTGGACATTTAGAGCATGTTGTGATTTCAGATCAGGAGCACAGTGAGAACAAATACAATCTGTATACACTTGATCCATGAGAACATGAGGATTTGAAGTTCACAGCAAGACTTCCAAGAACACAGTGGTTTGGACTTACTAACATAGTGCCTTTAAAGGTTACAAATGTTAGCGCTAAACTACAGCAGCTGACTCCAGAGATGTAATGTAAACAGCTGCTTGTGGCAAGCAAAAGAAACAAGAAGAAAGATGGATTCCACTTAATTAGCCCATATTTGCTGAGTTCATTATAGGAAAAAAACAAAACATATTTTTAACTTTGAGGCAGAAGCAGCTTCAAGGAAATTAAAGATTTTTTCAAAGCAACTGAATTTTACCTTTCACCCCTTCTTTTTTTTTTCAGTCACCAAAGTAGTTAACTATGAATAATCTTAACGAAGCACAACAAATATAAAATATACTTTCTTTAGAAAAACATACATTACTATATAGACTTGATCTTAACCTTTTTTGGCAAGTCAGGTATTATCAAAGTAAAATAATAACCAAAACCATGCATGAAACAGAATAAACATTAAGTTTAGTGTGTAAGTTAACAAATAAAGACTAAGTATACGGAAAGCCTTGGAAAATTGTTTTGTCACATTATACCTGCTCTATTCTTATGCAATAAACTACACGCAGATATGTGGCCAGGCTGTCACATTTTGACTTGCAACAGGGGAATCCAAATTGTAGTCCTAATTCTGCAAATTAATGTGGACCATGAAGGGGTGTTTGGCATATTCTCTTCAGACCGCTCTCCTGGGGTTGTAATTTGACCACGAACTGAAACTCTCGTGTCATTTTTATACCCCAGTCCATCAACACATAACAGCACACGTATTGCTGTGATGGCTGAGGCAGCACTGACGAGGATATGTTTGATATGCACCGCACAACACCCAGGCCCTTTGGGCAAAGTCGGTGGTGGTACGGACAAAACAGGATTTCCCTTAGTTTGGGGGCTCGCATAGGAGGAGCCTGCAAGCCAGCCTGGCTGAATATTGGTAGTTCACCTTGGAAAATTTATTGGGGAAATATGGGCTTATAACTGAACACTTCTCTCATAAAGGATTGGTCTCACCAAAATTACCCCCTTGAAGAAATCACACATGGCAGACAACTGTTTGTGATTGTATGTATTTACTGGTATGTGCAGGTGGGCCAGGATGCAGCTGTGATGAGGCATGAGCCCTCTGACACATCCTGAATCAGGTGGTGCTGATGAGGAGACATGGGAAGACATCACTCCATAGTCTCCCAGTAAGCTTTTGAAAAGATCAATGGTGGAAAATGTGGATAAGACAGCTACTTAATCTCATTTGTTTCTGGAGTTGTGCTCAGAAATATAGTCCAACAACCCCAACCATGTGAGTGACACTTTGCATTATAACCTTTCAGAGACCATATAATACACAACCAGACTAGTGAAAAAAGAATGTACCAGTGATGTCCAAGAGATGTAAGCATGGTCAAAGTGTTTTCTAGTATATGTGTGTATAATAATAACTACAAGGAACATCTGTTTAAAAAATGTCAGTGTAGAAGATTTAAAATTGAGTTGACATTTTAAAATGCTACTTGTTTAATTGATATATTACAGAACACATGCAAAACACTTCAAAACCAGTCAGTTACAGCAACAAGTATAAAACTTATTCTGTTATTTTCATTATTTGCAAAGTTTATAAAAGTAGCTACAAATATTAGTAGTGTGTTTTCAAAGCTTGCAAATAGTAAATGAAGCATCCAGCATGCTAGGCCTAGTACTCACTACAGTGCACTTAATCCATACTTCATATACCTTTTATTCAATTCTTTAGATGACTAAAGGAGGGAAAAAAAAATGTATTAACAGTTTTCAAAACCCTGAAAATGTTGAAGAGCTACTCATCTAACAGCCCTGCTACTCTTCACAGTCATAAAATACACACAGCTTTATTGACTTGATATTGGCTGGGATGCTGCTCATTCACACCAGCAGAGAATTTGGTTCCTTAAGAATATTCCACTTCAAAGCTCTGGCTCAGCAGGGTGTTAGAGTCTATATCTGGTTTAAAACTCCTGAGGGGTCAGTATTCAATATCCAGGTATAAAGAACAGAGCACAGCCAAATACTTTCCTAAACCAAGGCTTTTACAGAAGGAAATCACTTGCGCATTAAGAACATTTAAATCCAAATTCTGGCTGAAATCTCCTTCATAACTTCTGATTACCAGAAGCTGGGTGAGATTTGTACCCGTGGAGTGAGAGCTTCTCCCATGATCTATGAATCTTTAGGTTACATTTCCTAGCTCATAGACAGAAAAGTTCCTGTCCTCTATCACTAACAGTAAGGGGCAGGGAATCTTTTATGATCACATCTAGTTAAAACCTTGAGGGCTGTGGGAAATAATTTTCCCACCCTACAAAAGAATTTCAGATTATGAAGTTTTCTTTTTGTCAAAGGACTGATCCAGTACCTTGTAAAGTTCAGGAAAATAATATATATTTCTCACCCATCCCAAAATAGCCAATCTTCCATGGTATTCACTTGGTTACAGCATACTAAGTCATTAGGTAGCTTGGAACAGGTGAGAAAGCCAAATATTGCTCCACCATTTCTATAACTGATGGTATATGGGCTGGGGGCTTGTATTTTGGAAGCTGTTTTATTTTGCCTGAATGATCAGTCTTCAAACACTAATTTGAACTTTTCATTTCTTGAATCCCAGGATAGTTTCTGCAACTTCCAAACTACATGCTAATTCCATAATGGGAGAAGATTATTGTCCCAGAAATCCTGTCCCCTTCAGGACTGCCGATACACTTCTATGGAGGAGAAAGTGCCACAGTTGACTTATGGCCAATTATTGCAGCACAAGAACAATCTTGGAGAACCCAGGCCATTAATGATTCACCTGCAAGACACTCTGAAATCAGTTTACAACCGACTGATGACTGTATCAACCAGGTAACTCGAGTCATGCAGATTTACAAGGGATATTTTTTAAATCCAGAAAGGACCATTACAGACATGCATTTCACATGCACATTCCTAAACCTAGCCCATTTAGACATGTTTCAGCAGTAAACATTTATCACAGCCTCAGTAATTTGAGTGCGTAACTACTCTCAGTGTCTGCTCATTAAAAAAAAAAAACAAAACACCAAAAAACCCCAAACCAAAACCCCAAAAACCCCAACCCAACAACAACTCTGCTTCCAGTTTGGATAATTTTCAATTACACTTTATTGTTTCACCTTTTTTTTTTCCTACAGTAAAGTACTTTTTACTATAACATTTCTTACTCCTCAATGGATAATTAATTCTAGATAAATTATCGAGCTGTCTCTTAGACTTCTCTTCATGAAACAAAACAAATAGAACCATTTTAATGGCATAAGGCGTGTTTTCATCCTATGCATCATCTTTGCAATTCTCTGACCATTCACATGACAAAAGCAAATGATCTAGCAGTTTCAGAGTGGAATAGCTGAGCTGAGCTTGCAGGATTTAGCTAGCTTAAAAAAAAAAGGAAGGTAAATAACTTATTCTCAGCCTAGGTACTGTATAAATGCTTTCCTAACTAGTATCATAAAAGCTACAGTATGAAAGCCATTTTTGCTTACATTTAGGAAAACAAATCCATCGAGTTCTTCCATTTCTTTTGCTGTTGTTTCCAAAGTTTCCTTTGCTGAATCAACAGTTTGCTGGAAGTTAACCATCTGCTCATACAGGTACTCTTTTTCTTACAGTTTTCCTGTAAAATCAGATAGATGTAAATTGATCTGCAGAATAAAATTACAGCATTTAATGAATACACAGAAATTCTCAATTACCCATACATGAGCCAGACTCCTTCTGGCATCCTGACAATAAGAGAACTTTATTTCTGTAAGCAAGCTCATCTGGGAGAAATAATGCTGAAGAAATATGTTAAAAACAATGGCAGATTTTTTTTTAATGTGAGTGTTTAATTTTAAACTTCTGTATTTAAGCATAGAGACAGGAAGTCTGATTACAAAATAGCTAAAATTCCATACTTACAACTGAAGTTAATACAGTCCTCAAGTCTTAAGAACTTATGAACATTGGGCAACTCATTTAGATGCTTAACACAGGATTCTAAATAAAGACACAAACAGTGTGAGCTTTTTTTATAAGCATAAAAAAATTAAGGGAACTTTTTCCTCCAATGCTTGACAGTCACATATTCCACTTTGCAATAATGTGCAAAAAAAAGCAATCTTTTTTTTTTTTCTCCCCCTAAAGGTAACTCCTTCCAGTGGGAGAAGTCAGTTTGAGGACTGGAGAAACAGCCCATTTTAGTGGAAACAATGACACTACAAAACAAGGCAAGCATATCTTAGAAGTAATTTTGTAGAGGGAAAGAAAATTAGTGTGATAAAACACTGGACTTACCTCAACAGAGTTAAATAGCAATTCAATATCACTCACAAACTCTTCAATCTTCATTGACTTTTCTTCCAGTGCTATTAGCAATTCACCTAACTGAGCCTGAAATTTCAAATGTTTCAGTAAGTATGTTATTTTATGAAGTTTTCACACACAACTTATTTTAGGTTAATATTTTTGTTTTACCATGAGCCACCATTGGAACAATCGCTAAATTAAGTTCAAGTATCTCCCTGGCTACAAAGACAAGCACAGAAATAGCAACAGGAACAGTCACAAAACTGTTTACAAACAAACAAACAAACAAAAAAGTGAGCTGAGCTCAGCTCAACGAGGTGCTGAGTGTCTATACAAGTTGTTGAACTCTACGAATTCCAATGTAGCTTTGCTAGAAACCAAGGGTACTCAGAGCCTCACGAGAGTCCTCAAGAGATCACAGGAACAAGCCCATAAAAAGGAAGATAATGCAGGTAATTATGAGACTGATAGATTATGCAGCATTGTGATTTTTTTTTATTTAGAATTTTAAAGATATTTCCTATAAACCAGAATCCATCAAAATCACTGGTTGAGTTAGATGTGGAAACAAAAGCAGTGCAAGGGACAACAGGCATCAGAGACAACTCAGAACTTTTTTTTAGTCCTTCTTGACCTTTTGTGAAAGCAAGCTGGCCATCTGCTCAGGTGCAATTTATAATTTATAAAAATAGTTTTAATTAGCTAGCATAAATCTAAAAGAAAGGTTAACTTCCTTTGGTAACAGCTTCCTATTATCGCAAACTTCTACAGCTAGATCTGTTGAAAACTAGCATATGACTTTCCATTACTTATAAATGTCACATTGGACTGTAAAACTGAAAGCTCACTTTATAAATATTTACAGCAAATCACCAAGATTCAGAGGAAAACTTCTGTTTGTCAAGATAACCTATAAAATCTGACAGATTCTATCCATAGCTCATTTAATTTACTGTGAAACTATGTTCCTACAGTTAAAATTCAGGTGACAAGCATTTTGCTATATTAATGTTTTCTCAATAATTATACAGAGGTAACAAAAAACATACAAATGCTGTCTCAAAGTAACCTGAGCCCTGAATGCTAGAAATCATGTGAAGCCAAGCCTGTGCTGTGGACAGATTTAATATTGGATTCATGTCTGTGCTCCACAGCCAGGGAGTGATATTATGGGATGTTTATTTGCAGCTTAACTTGACTTGCTGCAATGCAGGTACATTCAAGGAATGGCTGGGGTCTGTGACTTTATTACTGACTTACTGGTGGCTAATTATGACTTCTAAGTCAAGCATGAATGGACATATATAAAAAGTAACTCTGCTGTCATACATCTGCGCACCATGGAGGTAGTTTGTAAATACTGATATTTGAAACTGACACATTAACTTCTACTACTTTTATTTTTTCTTTCTTGCATATGAGCTAACATAAAAATAACATAAAAACCAGTGATACAAGCCCTTCAGGAATTTTAATGAAATTACACAAAATCTGTATTATCATCAACCGAACATGTGCCAGGAAAGAGACCTCACCTTTCAGATACTGGGGTGAGATTAAATAGCTGGTCACCAAGAAAGAAACATCTGTATTCTTATACATGAACAAATCTGATATGGGAACAGTGAGGCATCACATGCAAGCCATTTTCACAAGCAGAACTGCAATTTAATGAAGAATAGCTTCCATAAAAAAAAGAGCATTTTCACTAGTATTGCTAGCAAAGGAGTATGCTACTGAAATGGAGGGAATTTTTATTTATCTTTTCAAGTGGTACAGCTTAGAAATAGTGGGAAGAAGTAGGACTTACTAAACTCTTACCTGCACTACAGTTAAACACTACTGGCACAGATGAACATGAACTGAACAGAAAATGAGGATGGAGTTTCAACAAAACTGTGTAAACTGTGTAACTAGCCTAACATCTCTGAGCAACCAACACAACTGGGATGGGGAACACCTTATGATGATATTGGTCCCCACATACGGAGGTTTCTGTACCTTGTCAAGTGAAATGAGCTGCTGTTACTAAAAATTTCTTTTCATAGAAACAACACTCTTCCCATTTCTCCCCCTACACATACAAATCAGACAAACTTACACAGACGAGAAGGCTTAAAGATGGAAAGTCTGATAACAGCTACATATAAACAAGGTAATTCAAACTTCTGAACAAATAAAAATATCAGCTTAACAAGCCTAGGACTCTAGAGAATACCTTAATGATAAGATAGTCTCCCTTCAAGAGCTCTCACAGGTGTTTAGGAATAGTTTCTATTTTATAGATACTGTGACTTAGCCTCTGGACTGCTCTCTGAAGCCTCTCCACTGACAACACAGGAGGCCTGGAGAAATTAGCCTCAGTATCTCCTTCCCTCACCCAAATTAATTCTTACCTTCATCTTGGTTGTAGCAGCATCTAGTGTTGTGACTTCATGGTCTTTATGTTCTCCAAAAAGCTTGTCAATAGCAGATATTGGGCATTTGCAGTGGTAACAATATGTGTCTGCTTGCGCTTTCTTCAGTTCTCTTTGTGGGCTCTCAACTTGAGGAATGTTTGTTGCTGATTTTTCAGGATACATCACCACAAAGCCTGAATCTTCAAGCTCAACAGGTGTTCTTTGCTCTGGCTCATCATTATCAAATTCATAACTATCACCAACATGCTCAAAAGAGTCCCTGTCTTCAAATAATAGCTCCTCATGTATGAATTCAGATGATATTACATCTTGCAAAAGTTCTTCTTGCATAATCACATCATAGTCCATTGACTCAGTGAGATTTTCATAAACATCAGGGTGCTGCTCCTCTCTTTGCAAGTCTGGCTTCTCTGTTTGCTGAATGGTAGGGACACATGAAAGATTTTCCTGGGTATACTGATCATCTTCACTGTCTTCAACATGAGTCCTGACATATGGGACATATTTTTCCGTTTGAGGAACTGCTGTTATTTCATGCTGTTCTTCCTGCTTATTACCAGCTTCTTGATAATCCACTAGTTGACTACACTCTTGATGACTTGACTGCTCTGGCAATTCCTCAGTTGTTTCTACAGGTACATTTTCTTCTTCTCTTTGTTTAGTGTTATCACTTCTTGCACCTGAAAGAATTACTTTGCTTCCAAAATGAATGGCATGCATTGGTTTACAAATTGTTGCTTGAATCTCACTATCAACCTGGACTTTCTCTCTCTCCACAACACCCCTTTCTGG